ACGGGGAAATTTAATTATAGAATGGATTCGAATCCGCGCGGAATCGGGATCCGGAGGAGTACGAAGGTACGGTATTTTACCGTACTTTTGTACTCCTGGCTCCGTTCTATAATTCTGGCACTGACTGTAAAAACTGCTGTGTCGAAATGCTCCTGCGTGCAAAGGCTTCTGTTTGGAAAAGCTTTGTGTGTAAAGGCTGTTCTGTGTAAAGGCTTCTCTGTGTAGAGGCCTCTGTGTGTAAAAGTTTCTCTCTGTCAAACCTCCAGCATCTCTTGTCATTCTGACTTTCACTCAAGTGCCAGCCCTGGAGCAAACTTCCTGTGGGGACAAGAAAAACACCAAAGTATGCATTTATTACATTTGACCTGCGCCAGCAATCACTCATACTCATCCTCATCCTCATCATCATCATCATCATGATGATGTTCGCCAACGTCATCGTCATTATCGTCATCATCATCATCATAATCATCATCATCATCATCATCATGATCATGGTCATCATCCTCATCATTATCATCATCACCACCATCATCATTTACCATCGTATGTTTGTGTTTCTTATCTTCTCGTCTCCTCCCTCCCGCTTTCTTTCGGGCCACGCTGTCGGCTAGTTTCATAGGCAGTTGGGCCACTCACTAGCGTAGACTTTGTCCGCAAATGAAGACGCCGCAAATCTTGCAGATTTGCTTGCTGTCGTTTTGCTTTTGGGGTTCTCCAGCCCCCCCTTGTTTTTGGATATTTGTTGACATATTTTTTGACATATATCCTGACATTTATCTGTATAAATTTTAACGGCCTCACAGCGACCTCATTGCGATAGTGTCTAGGATGGGGGTAGCTATCCCAAAGTAGCTGAGGCTTGTGACCAATATACTATGATCTTTTCAGGGGCATCCAAGATTAAAAACATCTATCATTATCTACCATCTTGCAACCTTACTTCACTGCTACGGGATCGCCTGAGGGTACTCTATGGTTCTTGGGGGATATAGCGAACTAGTTAATGGCTTTAGAACCCAACAGACAAAACAGGGGGGCCTCACCTTGTATGGGGGGGCAGAAGCCTGGCCTGCATTAGCCAAGGGACTCCCTAGAGTTACAAAGGGACTCAATCCCCCTAAGATCAAACATGCTCCAGAACCTGCAGGGATTTAACACATATATGGGAACATATTCGGGACCATTTAGCGGGGGTTATATTCAGGGGATGGGATTAGATATCGAATCCGTATGTTCATTTTGTATGATGTTGTATGTGATGTGGTTAAAAAACATCGAAAGAACCAACCATTTGCCCGTATGGGCCCCCATCCAAGGTATTCAATCCCTGGTAGGGGTTACATGGATGATAAGCTTAAAATGATCAGCTTTGGTAGGGGTTACATCTGGCTGAAGAAATGGTGCTCTCATCAAGAAATAGAGTATGATGATGGATGATGGCTTCTTTGCTTGGTTTTCGAAGGAAGTTTAGAAGTCAAACTTCCGATAATATGGATAGATGCAGCATGAGTGGTGGGAGCAGTCGGAGAAGAGAAAGAGTCAGAAGAGAAGGAATCAGAAGAAAGAATCTCCAAATGCGCGAAAGGTAGGAAAGTCGCGAAATACCTGTTTTTTTTCCAGTGTTCCGGAGCATTTCTCGCAGTGGACACAATCAGAAAGTGCACGCGGCTGTGGCGCGAAGCACATGTCCGAGTCAAAATGGTGTAACACACCATTGTGGGAGCAAGTTGACAGGTGCACGCGGCTGCGGCACGAAACACATTTCGAGGTGCAAAATGCCAAAAAACACCTCAGCTTCGGAGCACTTTTGGAAGTTGAGCTGTCGAAAAAGTGCACACCGATGTGACGCGAAGCGCATGTCGAAGTCAACATGGTTAAAACACTTTTGCTTCGGAACACTTTTGGGACTTGAGATGTCGAAAAAGTGCATGCTGCCGTGAACCTGGTAAAAGCACCACATGCTCGGACCACTTTAGGAAGTTGAGATGTTGAAAAAGTGCATGCCGTTGTGGCGCGAAGCACGTTCCGAAGTCAAAATGCTAAAAGCACCACGTGTTCGAACCACTTTTGGACGTTCACCCCAACGACATTACACTACACTACACTACACTACGCTGCACTGCATTGCACTGCACTGCAACAAGTACTACAAGTACAACTACAACTACAGCTATTAAAACAACAACAGCAACAACAACAACAACAACAACAACTGCTAGTACTGCTGCTGCTACTACTACTCCTACTACTCTTACGACTTCTACTACTCCTACTACTCCTACTGCTACTGCTACTGCCACTGCTACTGCTACAGTAACGACATTTAAATAAGTGGAAGGCGGGCCAGACTGCGAGGCCCCAGGGGTAGTATGAAATACCAGTTCGTATATTTAAATGTAGTTACCATTAGTTACCATATGTTTAAGAATTGGATTCCGTATGTTTAAATGGCGGGGCGGGCCAAGGAAAACGTTCCCGGAGGTAGTCTAAAATGCCTGTTCGTATACTTAAAAGTCCGTATATTTAAATGTAGTTACCGTACTACTACTGCTACTACTGCTACTGCTGCTACTACTATTACTATTACTACTACTACTACTAATACTACTACTACTACAACTACTACAACAACTACGACTACTACTACTATTATTATTACTAATACTAAAGCTAATTCTAATACTAATACTAATGCCAATACTTAAACGAATACTAATACTAATACTAATGCTAATACTACAACAACAACAACAACTTCTACTGATACAACCACAACTACCAGTATAACTACAACTACAGCTACCACTACACCACACTACAACTACAGCAACAGCTGCAACCACAACTACAAAAACTACAACTACAACTACAACTACTACTATTAGTACAACTACTATTATTTCTACTACTACGACTACTGCTACTACTCCTACAACTACTACTGCTGCTGCTGCTGCTGCTCTTCCTCCTGCTGCTGCTGAGACTGCTGCTGCTACAGCAGCGACAACTACCACACGACTACCACTATTGCTGCACTACACTACCAGTACAACTACGATTACAACTGCAACAGCGACAACAACTAGTACAACAACAACTAGTACTACAACAACTACTACAACAGCAGCAACAACTACAACAGCAGCAACAACAACAACAACAACCACTACTACTACTACTACTACAACAACAACAACAACTACTACTACAACAACAACAACAACTACTACTACTACTACGACTACAACTATCAGTACACTACATGGCACTATTAGAACTACAACTACAATTACAACTACAACTCAGCAAAAACAACAGCGACGACAACAACAACAACAACAACTACAACAACAACAACAAATACAACTACAACAACAACAACAACAACTACTACTACTACAACAACAACAGCTACTACTACTACTACAACAACAACAACAACTACTACTACTACTACGACGACCACCACCACCACCACCACTACCACTACCACTACCACTACCACTACTCCTACTACTACTCCTACTACTCCTACTATTCCTACTACTCCTACTACTCCTACTACTCCTACTACTCCTACTACTCCTACTACTCCTACAACTACAACTACAACCGCAATGCAACTGCACTACACCTACACGACACTACACTTGGTACCTACACTGCGCTACACTACGCTACACTACAGCTACCACTGCCACCACAACTACAACTACACTACACTACACCACACTACATCCATCAGTTGTGGTTGAGGTGACCTCTGCAACCAATCCTAAAAGCACAACTCCAACCACCTTTCGGTCCATCAGTGGGTTCGCTCTGCCCTACATGGATCACAACAACCAAACCTCTCGTATAGGTTTCCTATCTTTGAAACTTCCGCCACTGCCTTACTGGTACCCTGTTTTTTAAACATTGTAGGCACCATCCACCTGCATCCCGTCGCAGTTGAATGGACCATGCACCATCAGAATCTTCTCGAAAATGGGTCTTGTCTTGGCTTTCAGGGCGTTGCTTGGTGAGTGGCGGCGGGAGTTGTTTTCTGTGAATGGAGGAACCTATCATATATATTTATAGATTATATACATATATATGTATTGACATGGAGGTACTTGTACGCCCATATATATATAATATATATATATATTTATATATATGCATGTATATGTATATAAATAAATATATTGAGCGGAATGATATGTATATATGTATATACATATGTGTGTATATGATAATGCTAACCAGCTCAAAGTCAAGTTCTTGTTCCCCACCTGCCAGGTGAGGGTCTCTAGATTTTATCAGAGGTACTTTCTCCTCCCTTCTTCTTCCTTCTTCCTTCTCCTCCCAGCCTCGGACATCAACCGCGAGCTCCAGATCTCACTAAACACTACCGGCCTTCAACTGCGAGCTCCAGACCTTAGAGCGCACTGCCGGGCCTTATATAATCGCGACGTGCGGATCTCAGTGGGCAATGCCGGACACCCAACTGCGAGCTCCAGATCTCAGTGAACATTGCCGTACCCTCAACGGCGAGCTGCAGATCTCAGCGGGCACTGCCAGACCTCAACCGCGAGCTCCGGATCTCAGTGGGCAGTGCCCATGTCAGATAGAATGCCAGAATAGAATGTCAGATGGAATGGCAGAATAGAGTGTTAGAATAGATGGCAGATAGAATGCCAGAAAAGAATGTCAGATAGAGTGCCAGATAGAATGCCAGAATAGATGCCAGAAAGTTTCTCAGAATAGATGCCCGATAGAATGCCAGAAAGAATGTCGGAGTACATGCTAGAAAAAATGTCAGATAGAATGTCAGAATCTACACCCAATATTTACTTCCAGATGGTATGTCAGAAATTATGTCGGAATAATGGCAGGGAAGGGATCACTGGAAGAAAGCAATCTTGCTGGATTTATTAAAGGATGAACCATGGGCCATACCGAAACAACATAACTTGCAAGGGCCCGACCAGAGACCGGTCAAAAGAGAGGCATGGCGAGCTGAAGATGGGCTGGTCTCAAAACAGGGCTCTCCTACTACACATGGCATGGTGACATAGCTTCCATATTACCTGAATGTTCATCCTGCTGGACATACCAGCTGGTTGAAAAAAATCTGCAAAATTGCAAACTACTTGAGACTGGGATAAGTTAACAGTTAGACAATTTTCAACCACGGTTGATCATCACTTGTGAAGGTGGGTGGTCCGGGATAGTCATCGAAGTAAGTTTCAGACTGCAAAAAACAAGGGATATTACTTACTTGCAAAGTGGGATGGCCCACCAATCAACTATATTCGTCATACATGGGGACATATACATGATAAATTTTGCTGTGGCCAACCCGTTCGCTTAGATACCCTGCCAATTGCCAAAGGCCATAGCTGAGCCATAGCAAATCTTTCACTAATACACGGTGAATTTATTTCAGTTCATTTCAGATGATTGCAGGCGCAGGGTACTTAAGATTAGCTATGCAAGGTGGTTCCCCTCAGTTACAAGTTGGTTTAAAAACCCAGGCAATTAGTTCGAAATAAATCCCCACAAACCCCAATAGCTATCATGAATCAACTCTACTCCCCATGTTTGTTGCTTGCATCCCTAGTTTCCCTTGTTTTTGATGGTGGACAAGCTGGGGCATTGACCTTCGCGACTGCCCCAAGGCTTCTTCACAAACAGCTCCGCGACCTCTTTGCTCTGGTCCAAGGCGTCCCTCCTTTGCTTCTCACAACTGTTCGTGGTCTCTTGGTGCTGAAGGATTCTATGGGATTCGTTCAAGGTGGTGTCCATCAAAACAAAGGAGCATAGGCATTTCAGGAACAAAAACGGGGAGTATAGTTGATTTACTATTAATGTATGATAGCTAAGTTGGTATACATAACTCCAATAGGGTTATGATACGTATGAACCACAACAAAAACTCCAGCAATAACAAACATGTAAGGGACCGACATTGATTTGCGGAAATTGCACGAACACGAGGTAAGCGATCCCAAAAAATTGCCATAGAGTGGGCCATACATCATGTTTGTACAATCCGGTGTTAAGCGATGGGACCTTAGCAAATTTGCTGATGTCCGTTTTGCTGAACCTTGAGTTTTCGAGGCTGCTGATATATCGAACTAGTTGAATCGGGGCTATAAACCAACTTATAACTCGGTGGCACCATCTTGCCGGGACCCACAAAAATGAAAGCATGAAAAACACCCGGTGCCTTCTACATGGCTAGCTGAAAACATCAACTATCTGACTACTTTTGCGATAGGGGCAATCTTATGGATATTCATAGAACTTTTTGCGGATGATTTTCCATGGCCAGTTTCGTTTAGTTGAGGAGATGAGAACCCTCTGCCAAGCCTGATGACCCCCCTCATGACATGTTGACATGTGGGTTTGTCTGAAAATGAGGTACAACAGTACAACCCCAATTCCAATGCGCCACAGTATCATCTCAATCATCATCTCTCTGTAAATATGATTTAACATGATACAATACACAAATAAGCTAACATAAACAGTAATAGCAATATTGTTTAGACAAATAGTATTTTGTATAATATTTTTTGTTTCAGTATAATTCAGTTTAATGTTGTACAACTTAAAATTATAACCTAAGATGTTATTTAACATATAGCATGTAATAGTATACTATGTTTTTGTCTTTTAATAAAGCATAATGTACCACAGTTCAGTGTAATGCGATGTAGTTTAGCAAGATGTAGTGTAGCAGGATACGGTCTAGTATCCCATGATATGATTTGGTTTTATACTTTGGAAAACATGAATTGGCGTATGATACCATAGTGTGATAGCACAGAATGTAATATAGCATAAAACCATAGCATGATATAATACAATGTGATTGGCTACAACAAAATGTAACAGTATCTCTTAAATATAGAAATATAGTATATTCTACCGTATCATGCCATTTTATAGTTTAGCAGTAATTTGTGTTATAATTTAGGATATTGTACGTTTTCACAGGTATCATACAGCCTTTTACTTTATGCTTATTGTGCATATACAATATAGATACACATATTTTGTACGTACATGAATAAATATATATATATATATACAAATATTGTGAATGCCGCTCATTTCGTCCTCTTTGACAAGCATGCCGTTTCCTTTCCTCAAGAGTTCACCTCCAGCTTCAAACCAGCAGGTCATGCACTGTAGGCCCATTGGTTCAGGGAGCCCTTTTGGAAAGCGAGGTGGGTGGGTTTGGTGCCTTGCTGCTATACGGACTGGCGTAGGATGTGGACAGCCATTGGTGTGGTCAAAAAGCCGTGCGGCCGCGGCTTCTTGGACAGGTGGCGAAGAGGCATGTCGCCCATATGGATTTTCCGTTGGAACCGCTAGCCAATCATATTTGTAGTGGAGCCCCCAACATTGAAGTTGGGGGCATCCGGGAACTTTGGTGGGTGAATCTGGTGTGTGCAGTGTGGTCCTGCCGGAAGTGAGATGTCAGCTGCCAGTGACAGAACAGAGGCGTTGCAGAACATTTCCAGTCAGTTAGCCTATTTGGTCCCGAGTTTTGATCCGAGCAAAGGCGACCTCCGGGTCTACAAGCAGAAAGTGCAGTTAGTGCATGCCGCATGGCCTAGTTCCAAGGTGTCGGAACTGATCACCAGGTTGATCCTGAACACTAGTGGATCAGCCTTTGCCAAGCTTCAGCTTCACCATGAAGAACTTTGTATGAACGATGAGAAGGGTGTGAAACGCCTGATAGAACTGTTGGGAGGACACTGGCGATGCGGAACGCGCCCTGTTCCAATGTGTTCAACAGTCCGATGAAAGCCATGACTCATATCTAGCCCGTGCAGACATCCTGTGGACCAAGCTAAAGACACAGAAGCTCCAATTGGATGATCTGCAGGCATACATCACACTTCGCGGTTCTCTTTTGACCAGCGATGACAAAAAGACGGTGATTCTTGAGTTCGTTGAGTCTACTGCAATCTCAAATCAACACTGCAAAGGTATCCACAGTAACAGCAGCCAATAAGACACTCCACATGCAAAGAAACACAGTGACGTAACTATCAAAATCAAGCCCAAAAGAGCAGAAGACCTTCGATTTCTGGCCTTTTCGGACGCGTCATTTGCATCAAAAGCAAAACCTGAATCTCATGCCGGTATGATCATCCTTGCCACCCATGAAGGCATCAGCCAGAACAAGACATGTCCAGTGAGCCCGCTGTCTTGGAGAACGAAGACGATACCGAGAGTGGTCACCAGCACCCTTTCGGCAGAGACTTCTGCACTTTCCTCACACTGGACCAACTCACATGGTTGCGGTTGTATTGGGCCTGGCTGTTCGACCAATCAATCAAGAGGCAGAATCCCAGTGAAGTTAATCTTCCACCAGCCATTTCTGTTCCCACAGCTAGATTGGATGAAAAAGACTTTGCAATCACAGATTGTAAGAGTTTATATGATCTTACCACCTGAACATCGTTCCTAACTGTTCAGAATTCAGAAAGCAGCTGCGGGCGAGGTCTATAAAAGAGGCCTGAAAGGCAGGCATAGAACTGCATTGGGGTCACTCCGGTGGTCAGTTGGCTGACGCACTTACCAAAGTGATGGAAGCGCATTTCCTCAGAGAGACCCTACGAGTTGGATCTTACTGCTTACATGATGTAGATGAAGTGCCGAAGAACTGTGCAACGGCTCGAAAACGGCTGAAATGGCTTAAATCCACCACGTCCGAAATGAGCTAACATGTCAAAAACTTTGAAGTTTTGGGAATGTGAATCCCGCTCATTTCATCCTCTATGACAAGCATGCGATTTCCTTTCCTCAAGGGTTCATCTCCGTATATCTCCGTCTTCAAACCAACAGGTCATGCACTGTAGGCCCATTGGCTCAGGGAGCCCTTTTGGAAAGTGAGGTGGGTGGGTTTGGTGCCTTGCTGCCAAACGGACTGGTGTAGGCTGTGGGCAGCTATTGGTGTTGTCAACAGGCCGTGCGGCCGCGGCTTCTTGGACAGGTGGCGAAGAGGCATTTCGCCCATTTGGATTTTCTGTTGGAAACGCTAGCCAAGCATTATATATATATAATATATTTATAATATATATATAATATATTTATAATGTATATATATATATATATAATATATATATTTAAACATTCATTTTTTACACACATATCATTCATTGTTATTTTCCCAGTGATATTGAAATTCTGGGGTGTACCCCAGCTCTGGAATAAACCATTTGGTACTTCAACAAGTTCAACAGTTGGGAATTGGGAATGGCCAAAGTTTCATGGGGGAAATCAAGTCAGAGAGTCATAGTTTGGAACCTGTTGTTTTTCCTTCAGCCAAACCCATTGATAAAGTGCAGTTGTTTTTTCAGCGCAATGCGGCCCCGTTCTGGTGTTTTTTGACCTCTTTCAACAGGCAATGTGGGGGCTCTGCAGACTTTGGTTCGTGCACGGGCAGATCTTCAATGTGATCGCACATTCTCCTCCGTTCAGGACAGGGCTGCTACAACCGTCAAACATTGGGGTTTACCCTGTAGGTAAATCACCATAAACTTCCATGACTATGTTAGATAAGCAGAGGGTAACCATAAAACTTAATTTAGGAACCAACAAAATGTGTCGAAAATTACTTTTACCAATCTCCCTCCAGCTCAAGGGTGCGCGTCTCCCTCAAGCAAACTGGTTTTGCTTCAGATTGACCATAATTATACGGTTGGTGTTATATATGTGTACATATGTATAGACTGCCAGTCTTCTATTTTATCTCATATGGTGCCAGAATTATATAATCAATATTTTAATTTGTTGGAACTGCAAAGGCTGCATCGGAAAATCCATCGGTCCCGTACAGTACAGATTCACCATTCCCTCGTTGCTGGCTCAGTGCCACGTAGCTGGCTCAATTTTTTTGAACGAACAAAAAAAAAAGGGGGAAAAACAACGCGAAACTGATTGAGCCAGCTACATGCCGTTGAGCCAGCACGGTGTGCCGTCATCATCCCGGCCAATACATATTATGTATTCCTTTTTTTGGCTTTCACATTCGTTCGCCAGCTCAACGTGACGTAGCTGGCTCAATTTTTTGGAGTTTTTTTTCCGTTTTTTTTCATTCCAAAAAATTGAGTCAGCTCGATGCCATCGAGCTGGAGCGATGTGTTTGAGCTAGCGCGGTGTTGCTGAGGTAGCTCGTTCCACTTGAGGGAGCCTGCAGATTTTTCCCAATGTGTTCAATTGCCAGGTTCAGTCCCAAATGATTCGTTTAATAGAGATGGTACCCCTGTTGCAGCCCAAAAATTTAGGAGCCACGTTTTGGGCCAAATCTGCTTAGACAGCGGCACAACATTAAAGTCAAACACGTGACCCCTTCTAAAATTGAACCAGCTACATGTTTTGAGCTAACTCGAAAATGAGGAAGATTGTGGATTGCTTATGGAAACGGGTGTGTACCCTATTCATACCTCTTGGTGTACAATACCAATAAAGAAGGCTTGTAGTGGAAATCCCAGTATACCCGGGAAATTCAGTGGGGGTAGCAATCTCATCATGAGAAAAACATACTGTGGATGGAAAAAAATCCTGTATCAGTTGGGAACTATTAGGTACCTACGAAACACTGTAAATAATGGAAGGAAAATGGGAAAAACAATCTACCAACTGGATTTGAAATCCATCCACCATTATTTACCATTACTATCTACGTTACCCAAGACATCCCTTTTTTTTGCATTCTGGATGCGTTCGACCTCACATCGCAACGTCACGAAAATTCATGATGGTTATTGGGGGAATCATCCGGGGGGTCTGGAAAGGAGAAGGCCTTTGGTTTTATTTTTATTTTTTATCCCAGTGGAAAATCCACCATGTTTTTTTTGTGAATGGTTCCCCAGTATAGTGAATATTCCTGGTACCTGGAATGATTTTATTTTGGGGGGACCCCGAAGCAGCTTAAATCCAAGTACCAGACCAGATGGTTTCGCACCAAGGGTGTTGTTTCGCACCAGGATATACTGCAGCGTTCCTGTATTCCCGAGAGGCTCGATGTTTTTGTCGGGTTTTTGTACCAGGTTGATTTTTGACGTTTGAAAAACTTAGCATTTGCACATATAAATCAAGGAACTGAAACAATTACTATGTGATAGGAAACACAATTTAAGTATTTGGCAGTTGGTTTTTATGTCTGAAAGACAACGCTGGTTTTGTCCAAAAATGTTGTATACCCCCGAATCCGATGATTGATCATCATATGTCATATTCCATATGTGTTCATCGACATGCAATTTTCAACCCTATAGTTCTTTGAGTGCTGAATTTGCCTCATTTCCATAAATTTGTCAAACCATGGTTTTTGAAAGTTCACTGAGATGATCTGGTTCCATTAATACCTACTGTAGTTTCCAATGTAACTGATCAACTGCTCCAATTCGCCAATCAACGGGGGATTATTTAGTACAAATTTCAGTCTATTACAAACCCATATTAATCATCATTAATATCACATGCAGAGCCCATCAGCCTTCATTGCAAGCCCTGCAGAAAGCACTGCTCGTGTCATTGTCGGGAAACCTTGGGGGCTGCCAGGATCTTTTACACACTGCTGCATGAGCCAGCAGACTGAGCGCAGCATAGCGCAGCGACAAAAAATCATGGAATTGCGGTGAGTAGTGACGCAGCATGGGACAGGAGTTCAAGAAGAAAATCATCAGCAGATGGGTTGTCCGAAAATAGTGTAGGTATTTGTTTAATATTTTTTCCATGAAAAACACTACTTTTTGAGATATCCTTCCATTTTCATTTCCGCCTTGTTTTCGTGTCGGATTTTCCGCAGCAAGTTTTTGGGGCTGTCCAACCGAGTCCCTTGGGGTGGATCATCCGACGAATTCGAAGTATATTGGTTAGTTCACCATGTTTTTTTCAGTGGGATAAGTCACCCCATTCCATCCCCCTTCATGATCTCAGTTGTTAGCATGACCCTCGATAGAAACACAGACTCTAAGTGATGATTAATGTTTGGAAACCTGGAAACCTGGGGATCAGACTCAAAGTTTCACTGTACTATATCCACCATGGTTTCTGGGGGTCTCTGTTTGTTGTATTCGCGGGGGCCGACAACGTGCCGACAAAGTGCCGGAGGTCGTGGTCAACTTTGGTGCCATTGAAGACTATTTGAACGAGCACGCCTTGCCTGTGGGTCAGAAGCGAATGCATATCATGCAGGAATGGATAGCCATTTCATTCATGTAACAGATGAAAACAGATGTCTTCTATGATATTTAATTATCAGGGTTTTGAAGCATACTCAGGTAATATATGCTACTCAGGTATATATTTTGAACCATACTAGGTTTAATTATCAGATATTTTAACAGCCTTTTGCATCGAATCATCAGCGCAGGTGGTGCCAAAGCAGTTCTTTTTGTTCGTATATAGGCCTCATTAGCTATAGATATAAAGATAGATATATAGATAGATATAAAGATAGATATATAGATAGAGATATATACATAGATATATAGATAGAGATATAGATAGAGATACAGATAGAGATATAGATAGAGATATAGATAGATATAAAGATAGATATATAGAAAGATATATAGGTAGATAGATATATATATAGAAAGATATATAGATAGAGATATATATATATATATAGATATATAGATAGATATATAGATAGATATATAGATAGATATAGATAGGTATATAGATACATAATATGTATCATAAACCCTAGTGAAATTGGAGTTATGATTACCAACTGAGCTAACGAACTGGGGCACCACCTTGTATGGTTGGCACAAATCACCGGCCATGGGTAATTTTGTTTGGAGCTAGTGCGTGATGGCTGTAAGCCGTGCCCGTGTGCCGGGCGCCAGTCCGAATCCACTCACCCGCGCTGGTGTGCAGAAGCATATCGTTGGCAGCCAAGAGCGCGGGATTTTCTTGGGATTGCTGGTGTTACAAGTGGGTTTGCCTGCAGAGGGGTTGAAACCACCAACCAGATGAGTTTGCTGGATGGTATATGGATGTGGGTCAAAATGGAAGACCTAGGGGACCACAGATGTGAATGTCTAGTTTAGTATTCACCATCCAATTATTGGGGTACCTAATTTTGACCCATACCCATATGTCACCCTGAAATCTTCCTATCGAAAAATTATGGTTGGCATTGGTGGAATCATCCCCGATCTAGTTTTTTTTGGTTGGTGAATTGTTGGTGTATAGCCCCAATACTAAGATAGTACCATGTTAGTAATATGGTGTACCAATTGATGGAATATACCATATTACTAATTGACCTTATTACTTATATGGTGTATAATGTGTATACCCCCAACTAACCCACGGTTAGTTGGGAGCAGCATGAGAAACAGATGGAACGGGTTCCCGTATTTTTCAGACAACCCATATTTGTCCACGTTGTGAATGTTGTGATTTCAATGAAATCAGGAAATCAACAGCTGGTTTCTGGTTTCAAACATTTGGATTATTTTTCCATATATTGGGAATGTCCTCATCCCAACTGACTTTCACTCCATCATTTTTCAGAGGGGTAAGTATACCACCAACCAGATGCCATTAAAATTCCCATTAGATCCTATTAAACCACCATTAAATGCCATTAAACCGCCATAAAATCCCATATTGGTTATGATATATTGGTTTCTCCTCCAGACTTTCCCTCAAACTAGGTCTGCTTATATGGTAAAGTCCTGTGGCAGATCAGAAGACCCAAGACGAGACAAAAGAAGACCTGAGACCTCCCAAAGAGCAGATGGGGAGTGCTTAAAATGTTGGCCCCAAAATCACCCAAGTTGTACTTTGGGATGTTTTTGCTAACAACATGCAGTTTTCTTTTTACATCACCAAAGTAGATAGAGTTGCTACGGTATGGAGATCTGATCAACGTCCCCTTCCCGCTGAACTGCTGGGTTCCAGATCCAGGGCCCAGCCGCAGCCCCGCTCCCAGCCAAGGTCAGAGCGCGTGGGCGCAAAGAATGCGCAACGCACCAAGACCCGCGCCGGATTTCCGATGCTGCGATGTGGAATTCTATAATAGACAATGGTAGAATCATTTTCATACTTGGTTAAAATCATGTTGAAGTTCATCATGGCCCCAGCTGCTCTTTTCGGGTGGCCGAGGCCGAGTTTGCGCCGCATTTCGTCAAGGCCTTGCTCGATGAGGATTTCAGGGTGCGGCATGCCGGCTCCCAAGCGCTGCTGGAGCTAGGCGTGGATCAACTGAAATGTGGCGTCCCAGTTCGATAAGTTGGTAAGCACAACTCCAATTTCACTAAGGTGTATGATATCTATAGTTCATAGTTAGCTAAAATGTCTTCATTTTTCTCCAGGGCCTCTAGGCTTTATGATATATATATATATATTATATATATACACTAATATATCGAACTAGTTAATGAGAGGTATAAACCAACAAAACTAACTGGGGGCAGCAACTTGTGAAACCAGACATTGTTCGAATCCAGGTCTACCGGAGCTTCTGGTTATGACTAACAGTTCGCCATGGAAAGATCCACCCATTTTTAAGAACGGTAAACCATTGATCTATAAAATAACCAGATGGTATCATGAAAATAACATCTTCAGACTTTAATGTCTTCGAAGTTCAGACTTTGATGCTGCCTTGAGAATCCAAAAATACAGTATCATACAGTATCATACATTATCATACATTATCAGGATTTATCAATTATCATCATCATTTTGCTGGCTATCTCAATCATTATCATCATCACCATCATCATCATCATCATGGTGATTATCATCATTTTGTTGACTATGTTGATACATGTTAATCATTGTCATGAATTTTCCATGCCACAAAACAAAAAAAACATGGTCGAGTCTGGTCCCAAGCCTTGGTGGTTTCTCGGGAAGTCATCGAACTGGTTTCGAGGGTTTCGATGGGCGAAGTGTTCTACCAGGTCTACCAGGTCCTAAGACTGGCTAAGAGGAACACCAGAGTGAATAAGTGAACATAGTAAACACCATAGTAAACACCATACCAAGTGTAGTAATGAAGTTTACTATACTCTTCTACCTAAGAGGGTGCTGCAGTGAGCAAAGTGAACATAGGTTTACACCATAGTTTCATCTCTCCGAATTTGGGTTTTGCGTTAGTGAGCAACACTGTTTTTTGGGGGCTACCGGGCCAATGTACCTTTATTTCACCATAGTTACAATAGTTACCATAGTTTTTTGGGGGCCCCATATCTCAACATATCTCAACTTATTGAGGTGAACTCAGTATGGTTAGAGCATAGCTATAGCAGCCATAGAAATCACTCCTAGCCACCCCAGGCCGCGCCTGTACACAGCCAGGGGATTTGGCCGCGCCTTACGTGGAGGATTTGGCGAAAGCCCTGAAGGATGAAGACTGGTGCGGATGGGGCGAACATGGCTGGCCATGGCTGGGAACATTGATGGAACATTGATGCTGCTTGAGCTGTGGAACATGAATTTTCGAGTTCCAAGCTTGAACAACATCTTGCAACACCAATCTGGAATATTGTGTTGGCATCTTTTCGCTATCCCATTTCTGATTTATTACTATCACCATTTAGAGTACCCGTCAAAATGTATTAAAATCATCTGGCCGTAATTTTGCAACTTCTCCCTCATTTTCAGACAAACCTAAAGCTGTGCCACGGGAACTCATGGCCAAGTCTCACCAGGTACGTGCGCTGCAATGCTGTACAGGCGCCCGAAAATGTGGTCCATCCCTGCCCAAGGCATCGATTCACGGGGTTCCTGCAAATTTGCCAACGAAATGTTGATAAAATGCCGAATCCAGCAGATTGGATCCATTGGGTAGGCGGGAGTGGTTCGGAGCTCAGGGTGTCCATAGTGTTCCATAGTATTCCATAGTATTCCATAGTATTCCATAGTAAATCCATAGTAAATCCATAGTATTCCATAGTCACAATAGTCACAGGATTCAAAGGAGCTACGCGTGGAGTTTCTCGATCACATCTGTTAGGCGATGGGCAAAGTGGGCCTGGCCGCCAAGTCTGGTTCTTGGAGACTCAGAGATCTCAGAGCTTGGGTGGATTTCATGGGATTCATACACCATGAATATGTATCAATATGCCATTCGTGCCTTCCTGTCATGTGCTCTTTTTGAACCAAAGAATTAATCAGAAAAATAACCTAAGCTATCGAAAACAGTCAGAATTTCAGTGGCAAAGTGATCAAAAAAAGATTGGGATCAATAGGAAATAGCAGAGTTTCCATTGGCATGTTTGGCTACCAGAGTTTTCATTTATATGCAGAGATTTCAACGACCAAGCTCCACATAGAACGGCGTGTAAGCGATTTTGAGTCCCAAGAATGACCTCAACTCTTTGGGATTTGTAATTTCTCCAGATTCTGTACCTTACCTTACCTCAACACAGAGACTGGGTCCCTGGGTAGCTCAACAAGGACCTCCATTTTTGGGCTCCCAGAGATCGGTCTCCGAGGCCTTTCCTCAGTGATGTGGCCACCTGCTTGGGTGACAAGATGCCAGAGGTAAGACGACAAGCCAAGGAGGCATCGAACGAATCACCGGGATGTGGAGATGTCGAACATCGCAACACATCGCGTTTTTTATCGTTGCTGGTGTATCTAAAACTCCAATTGAAAACGAGGCCATGGGCTTTTTGAATGTTTATGATATATCGAAGTAGTAGCCATGGGCACCAACATGGCTATAACTGGGAGGCACCACCTGGGGGCCGCCATGGGTCAATGGATTCATAGCTTCGTGACGACTCGTAGGGACTGTGTTTCCAGTCTCTTTGGGATGGTAGATGGTATGCTACCACGCCCTGGGCGTCGTAGTTTGCTCCTCTTTTTGTGCGCCTGGAACGAGTTCAATAGATTGCCATCCAATCAGAACTTTCAATACCATCAATGGTTCGTCATCATATTCTCTATTAAAATGCGCATACAACAGGTACATCCCAATCTCAGACACACCCCAAATTCCCCGAATCATCGTTGCTCATCCCCTGAATCATTGTGTTGGAGCTGCGCGCTATGTTGTTGTTTGTTTGGCGGTGTGCTGCAGGAGGTTACTTTTTGGTGACTTATTCTGTATTACCAGTAGTACCGCACAAGGCGGTGGCAGAAGTTTCAGAATAGGAAACCTATAGGAGACGTTGGTTGTTGTGAATCACGGATGGCAGAGCGAATCCACTGATTGACCGAAAAGTGGTTGGAGTTGTGTTTGCTGGAGTGGTTGCAATGGTTGCAGTGGTCACCTCACCCACAACTGCTGGATGTAGTGTGATGTACTGCAACTGTAGTTGTAGTTGTAGCGTAGTGGAGTTGTAGTTGTGGTGTAATGTAATTAGTGTAGTGTAGTTGCAGTCATATAGTTGTAGCTGTAGTTGTTTTGTAGTTGTAGTTGTAGTAGTTGTAGTTGTAGTTGTAGTTGTAGTTGTTGTAGTTGTTGTTGTTGTAGCTGTAGTTGTTGTGTGGTTGTAGTTGTTGTGTAGTGTAGTTGTAGTAGTAGTTGTTGTTGTTGTTGCTGTTGTTGTTGTTGTTGCTGTTGTTGGTGTTGTTGTAGTTGTTGTAGTTGTAGTTCTAGTTGTAGTTGTAGTTGTTGTGTAGTTGTTGTAGTTGTTGTAGTTGTAGTTCTAGTTGTAGTTGTAGTTGTTGTGTAGTTGTTCTAGTTGTAGTTGTTGTAGTTGTAGTTGTAGTTGCTGTTGTTTTTGTAGTTGTTGTAGTTGTAGTTCTGGTTGTAGTTGTAGTTGTTGTGTAGTAGTTGTAGTAGTTGTAGTTGTAGTTGTTGTAGTTGTTGTAGTTGTTGTAGTTGTTGTAGTTGTTGTAGCTGTTGTAGTAGTAGTAGTAGTAGTTGTTGTTGTTGTTGTTGTCGTTGTTGTTGTTGTTGTTGCTGTTGCTGTTGCTGTTGTCGTCGAAGTTAAGGTAGTTAAGTTAGTGAAGTTAGTTAAGTTAATCAGTGTCTACTTTTTCAACATCTTCACGTCAAAAAAAGGCTCAAAACCCTCAGTTCTTTACACTTTTGACTTCGAAATGTGCTTCGCGCCACAACGGCGTGCACTTTTTCGACACTTTTTCGACATCCGAAGCTCCAAAAGTGGTCCGAGACCGTCAGTTTTTAACACTTTTGACTTCAAAATGTGCTTCGCGCCACAACGGCGTGCACTTTTTCGACATCTCAACTTCCAAAAGTGGTCCGAGAATGGTGTGCTTTGTACATTTTGACTTGGAAATGTGCTTCGTGCCACAACGGCGTGCACTTTTTCGACATCTGAACTTCCCAAAGTGGGTCCTACAATCTTGTGTGTTTTGTACATTTTGACTTGGAAATGTGCTTCGCGCCACAACGGCGTGCACTTTTTCGACATCTCAACTTCCAAAAGTGGTCCGAAGCTGGTGTGCTTTGTACATTTTGACTTGGAAATGTGCTTCGCGCCACAACGGCGTGCACTTTTTCGACATCTCAACTTCCAAAAGTGGTCCGAAAATGAGTGTTTTGTACATTTTGACTTGGACATGTGCTTCGCGCCACAACGGCGTGCACTTTTTCGACATCGCAACTTCCAAAAGTGGTCCGAACCTGGTGTGTTTTGTACATTTTGACTTGGAAATGTGCTTCGCGCCACAACGGCGTGCACTTTTTCGACATCTCAACTTCCAAAAGTGGTCCGAGCATGGTGTGTTTTGTACATTTTGACTTGGAAATGTGCTTCGCGCCACAACGGCGTGCACTTTTTCGACATCTCAACTTCCAAAAGTGGTCCGACATGGTGTGTTTTGTACATTTTGACTTCAAATGTGCTTCGCGCCACAACGGCGTGCACTTTTTCGACATCTCAACTTCCAAAAGTGGTCCGCTCCTCTAGTTTTTTGTCCATTTTGACTTGGAAATGTGCTTCGCGCCACAACGGCGTGCAATTTTTCATCTCTCATCTGGCCAGCTGGCTCCGCACCCGCCGCTTTAGCGAGCCTACTTTTCGACCCACCGGAGCCACAAATCATTGGAAAAACACAGTGTTTCGCGACTTTCCTACCTTTTCGCGCATCTGCATCTTCTTTCTTCTGATCTTGTCTCTTCTGACTCTTCTCACCTCTGCTTTTCAACTGTCCATATTGTCGGAAGTTTCACTTCTAAGCTTCCTTCGATGAGATAGCTTTTGAATATACTAATACAGGGGCTGTAACACCTGCTGAACCAGCAGGATTCAGATCTGACGAGATGAAATATAAGCAGATGTGTTGAAGCCTTGCCAGCACAATGCTGCTGTTGACAGTATGCAACTTTTGCAACATATAAAGAGATAAATGAATTAATAATAAATAAATAAATGAATGAATAAATGAATAAATGAATAGATAAATAAAATAAATAATAAATCAATAAATAGATAAACAATAAATTAAAATAAGATAAAATAAATAAACAAATAAACAAAATAGAATAATTACATAAATAAATTATATATGTATATAGAATATTTATGTGTAAGTATGTAGTTTTCTTCGCTGTGCATGCGCAAAATAGGCGCTGTACCAGTGGGATTTTTTCCATCTCGCGGGATGAAATGCGAAACACCTGTGTTCAAACCATACGATTAGACTTCAAACTTCATCCAACGTAGTGCAAATACAAATACCGGTAAACATATGAAACAGGCTAGTACTGGGTGGCCTAGGATACACATATACATTGAGCGCATAGTATATATATATTTGAATATACTGTATAGTGTAAACACTCTATATAGTAATACACACATATATATATATATGCCACTTATATCCCTTACTCTGTATCTCCCATGTATTCATTTGGTCACATTCGAATTCTCCTCCCGACAGGTTCTCACAAAGCTTCGCGCGCTGCATGCGGAGCCAGTGGAGCCCAAAGAAACTGCAGAGTGAAGAAACGGCCAATTTTTTTGTGATCATTTGGGCTGATGTCAGCAACGATCCTGCGGCAATTCCTATGGGTATTTTTTCTAATCATATAATTTCCTACAATCATTATCAGACTATCATTACACAACAGTCAATAGTCGTATAATATGATTGCATTATTTCATTGTTACTATATATGTACTGTACTGTAATTGAGTCATTATCATATCATCAACTCTAAGATAATATTGTTATTGTATTCTATATTGTTGTATTGTATCATATTATATCAGTTTTTAGTGATATTTTCAGACGAATACTAGTGTAGACTGTTATGATGATGTCGTTACATGTTTGCTATCATTTTAGATCCGAATCATAATTACTACATATGCATATATCTATACGTAGATGCATACATGTTCATTTTATTATGACTTTATCATGATGTTACTATTGTATTATAATATAAATTATATTGTATTGCTATTTTTGTTGATGACCACTGATATACACATCACCATCTATTTTTTCCTATCGAATTATCATTACCATTGCTGCGGAGTATTTTTTGCGATTGGTATTGTTATCACTGCATAGTGTTTGAAGTTTCAGAAATCCAGTTGGAAACTATCAGAAGCAAGAGCGATGGATGTGGTTGTGGTGATATACGCAGCAAACCACGGCAGATTTTGTAAGCACTAAAAACAACGAAAGATCCAAAGCTGAAGATCTTCAGCTATGATGGTTGGTACTTTGAGTAGTCATTTTCATCCAAGAAGTGGTTTCAGATGACCCCAAAGTACTTAGTATTGAAGTGGTCATTACCCTCTGGTTATGACTACCATAGCCATGGTATAGATGGCCCATAGAAATAGATGGTTTACCTATTCAAAATGGTGATTTTCCATGGCTATGTTAGATAACCAGAGGGTAGATGACCCCAAGATGTGTTGAATCACTCCAATTAATTGGATGCCTTGTTGAATCAACGATATCATCACTTGGGATGCACCCCTCAAAAATGCTCCAAGAAACGTTGCTTAGTATGTCTTGTGTGGCCTGCACATTAGCGAGACGCAATGGTAAACGAGTGCAAAACGTTTGTGCATGAAAGATGACCCTCAAATTGGTCAACTGTTTAGAGACTTTGCTCCAAACAGCCATAGCTGAAATGATTGCTCTTCTTGTACGAAGAGACTACAAGTTGAAGTATGGGGTTTCTTAACATGGAGGATCCGCAAAACCATGGGTTTCAAATGGTTTCAATACTAAGATTGTCTAATGACTCGGATGATTTGGGGTTACCCCCATTTCAGGAAACCTCCATATGACTATGAATATCTGTGTCGCAGCATTGGCTTAGACTTTTCGTTGTTTTTTTTAAACATGCAATTCATATTTGGCCGTACATGTTTGGCGATCGCATACTTGGGGTCGCTATGCGAGGCGCAGCTTGGGAGTTCCAACCAGTGTGGACAATGAACGTCGACGGTTGGTATTGTGATTGGTGATGCTCCCAATCTGGTGACCATCTGGTGGGGTATTAATGGATGATTTATCACTATAGATAGATATCTATAGATACTATAATTTTAATGGATGATTGTAATCATTATGGGATTGGCCAGCCACATTGGAATGACTCCCTAAATTGGGATTTATCCATTCTCTTGGAGGTCTGAATTTGTTGCTTTTCTCTCCGAAGAATCCCTGTATGATCAAACCCAGAGATTTCTGGACAATGGAAGTATGGCCATTTAGCATGGATTCCAGGTGAATTTCAAGGCTCTTCCGGCGTTGTTCCGCACAAAACTTGTTTGTTCCCTACTAGAGCATTGAGCATTTGTAAGTGGTTGGTGACCTTCAATTGTAAACTCTCCAACCCAGGGAGAAGACAGTTAGCGATTGATTTTTGTTTTAAACCAGTTAGCAAGTTTGAAGTCATTATTCGAACTGAAGTCATTGTACAACCATTGAACACCATTATCCATCTGGGAGCTGGAAGCTGGGTGAACCTTGATCTCCGATAGTCAGCTTATACCATGTGTATAATTTATGTCATTAACGTAATATCATATATTACCATGTATTCTAGTATTGTTGATTGAATATTTGACACTTTATATATACATTGTAATATATACGGATATAATTGTATCTGTATCTATATATTGTTGATACAATGTGATATATTATGATATGATATGATATGATATGATATGCTATGCTATAATGTATTAAAATGTTATATAATGTTACATAATGTAATATAATGTAATATAATGTAATATAATGCAATGTAATATAATAATCTAATGTAATACAATGTAATGTAATATGATGTAGTATAATGTAATGTAATTTACTATAATATGATATAACATAATATAGTATAAATTAATATAATATTAACTAAAATAAAATAGAAAAATATAATAAATTATATAACTACATGCAAAAACACATAGACCATATACACATAGAAACAGGCAGACATTGACCACGGACTTGTCACTCCATGGCACCTGGCAGGCCATGCGTTCCATGCATGGCATTCGCAGTGGCCACTTGGAATGTTCCTCGGCAGTGCGGAGGGCACCCGCCGCGCCCAAGGACCGAGGCTTCAGGTTGAGATGGTGACTGGTGCAGTTCCAGTAGTAGGTGATATACAACCAGAATATGGGCGTGTTTATCCCAACATATCCAAACTTTGGGTGTTTAATTTCCGTGATCATATCTATTCATAACCCCAACTGAACCTGCAAAATGGGGATAATGGGGATATATATATATACATGTCATATGTGTGAGTATATATATATATGTGTGTGTATTACATACAAGTCGAAAGATACAGGCATTGATCTAATTTTTGATACATGTATTATAGATGAGGTATCAACCAGTAGTAATGAGGATCGTGAGATACAATGCGGATATCATGCGAACATATAATGATCCATGTATATAATATATCGATATGGGTCTACTGTCAATATTCGGATTTAGTCAACAATATGGGGATGTTGACCGGTAGTAATGGGGAGAGAGAGATATATATATATAGATACATAAAGAGGGATGAATTGCCTACTCATTTTGCAGTCGGAAGTCTCAAAATAGATTATGTACCCTCAATCTATGGCTCATCGGGAAGATTGTTCTGAATCATGGGATGGAGCTTCATAATTTTGACACCCTGGTTTTATCCTCTGGTAAACGGTTACATAACGAACTGGAAAATCCCCATGTTTAATGGGAAAATTCACTATTTCCACTGGGCCATGTTCAATAGCTATTTTGACATAACCAGAGGGTAGGATCCAAGCTTTAAAAAAAACTCAGTGTTTTGTTGATTCCCCTTGGGAAACAGAGGTTTCTTCTTGTGAGGTGATTCCCCATAAACCATCATGCAGCATCCCCCGATGCTCAAAAGCTCCGAATTAATCTTAAATGGGAAAGATTCGATCTGTTATGGCCAGCACTGGTATAGCATTTACATCATTTTTTGAATCTATTTAGCTCATAATTTTGCCTATTGGTTGTGAAAAGATGGGAAAACGACCAATGTGTGGATGTGGATGACGGGAACTTGAACTAAGACACGATGATTGCTGTGGGTTTGTCTGAAATTTGGGTAAAACCCCATGGTCATGGTTTATCGCTCCATTTCATGGCATCCCTGGTTTTGAGACAAACGACTAGGAGGAAATCAAGTGCCGCTGATCTAAAAGTGGATTGATCATGCCCATTTGGTGAATCTCACATTCATGGGGTCAAACTTCGACCGACCTGCCATGATTTAGAAGGTCATTATTTCAAGATGGGATGAAAGTGAAGCAACGTTGGACTTGTCGCGATCAAAAAGATGAACATCAAACTTCCAGAGATGTATGTTCAACATTTAGAGCCAACTTATTACGTTTTGGGTTCACAATTCCACCTTTGTTCCGAAAATTCAAGCGCCCTTTCCGACATCCCTGGTTTTTTTCCGCTCAGTGTCGTGTCCTGTTCTGATTTGTGCTGGTTTGAGGTTTCAAACATTGTTTTTCATTCAACAAATAGGATGATGATCCCCAATTTACCAGCATGTTCTTCACGGGGGTAGCGAATATGCCACCGACCAGTTTTACTGTTTTTGTGGAGATGTTTAATATAATCCCATTGTATCCCATTACAATAGATGATTATATATATATATATCTATCTACCGTAAGCACTTGATGTTATTATCTTCGATAGATTCAGCTACTATAACTAGATATATACATACATATATATATATACACAATTAATTATAATTGTATATATAAGGTTTGGGTTCAGATGCACACAGGGTGCAAGGGTGCCCCCTGCCGCTGTCCCTAACCTGAGCGGAACTGCGCTGAGCCATTGCAGATTCCGCGGGCATTGCGTGCGCTTTGCGGGACGCTTTTGCCTCGAGGTTGTGGTCTTGGGCAGGCCACTTCCTCTGATCTTCTTCGAGTTCATCCTTTGGTTCTCACCGGGTTGTTCTAGTTGATTTGCCCCACAACATTTTCACTGCCAGGCTTTGTAATTCTGTGGTTTGACCTTGTCACTGCTTTTACATCCCTCGGCATTCCCTGAAGTTTCACTTCGGGACGGGTATCTTCGGTCTCTGCCTTAACCGGAGTGGATTTTGTGGTGTATGAGCTCCTCTTTGCTCTCAATTTTGGTAATTTTACTTGCTTCATCTACTCATCGTGACTTTGTCTACGCACAGAAGACTGGCCAGGAGGAAAAGAGCCAAGGCTCGCAGAAACTGGTGGCTGTACCGCAAAGGATACATTCAGCTCACTGTTCTGCAATTGAAGCATTTGAAGGCCTTGTTGGCCCCCCATCATTCCAAAGACAGTTCCTTCCTTCAGCTCATTCAGTCAGCAATGGATGCAGATTGGAACGGGCCGTGGAAGTGCGCCAGCTGTGGCAAAACGAACGGCAAGAAAGCTGCTTTTTGCGACAGATGTGGAGACACGTGGGACAATGGAACGCCTCACGATACACAGCAGAAATCCAACACAGTTCAGGATGGCTGGACGTACAGTCGTTGGAAAGACTGGCAATCCAGCGCATATCGGAATTGGGAAGACTCCTCAGCTTCATCCAGAAGTTCGTCAAGGAGACAACCCGCTCAACAGAAGCAGACCAACCGTCGAAAGAAGAAACGAGGACAGCCAAAAGTTCCAGCCCATCCACCCAAGGGTCGAGGCAAGGGAAAAAAGGCTGCTGGACGCGATGGGCAGCAACATTTGCCGCCCTTGCCACCACCACCAGCTCCACCCCCATGGCCTACACTGGATTCGGCGGCATTGTTGGCGACCAGCACCAACACTGTACCTCCAACAGATCCGAACACTTTGGCAGTCACTCATCAGTTACAAGCAGACAATCGAGAGTTTGCCCGTCTCTTACGGGATGCTTATCCGGATGTGCAGTCGCGCCCACCAGAAGCGGCCGCAGCCATCGACCGTGCAGAGCAAGGCATGAAGAAGAGTGTCACGAAGTCACTGCATGTGGCTACGTCAGCCCTCGACAAAGCCCAGAAATTGCTCACCGAAACTGCAGAAGCACGCAGGATTCACCGCAACAGTTGGTTGGCTCATCTCACGGAAAGCATCAAGACTTGGGAATCGCAGCTCGAAACTTACCGCAAACATGGTGCGGCTCTCCACGAGGTTGCTCAGAAAGCAAGAGCAGATATTGCAGCTGCTCGGGCCGATATTCAGCGCCTCAGTACCCAAGAACCAGGGGACAGCTCAGCATTAGCAGCGGCCACCATTGCGGTCGGGCGTGGCAATCGCTCCAGAGGTACAAACCATCCTTTCGGACGAGGAGAGAGACGTGGAACGTGGCCACAACAAACGTCCACGTTCTGTCGAACCAGGTGCAGGAGTACCCTCCTCGTGAGGTTTGGCAGTGCAGGGTCAGTTCCATTTGTGTATGAACTGCATGATGCCACAGGTATGTGCCGAGATTCGTGGATGGTTGAGGCCTATGGTGCTAGTTTTTCACAGCACTGTGCAGCATGCCATCCGTGGACCCCAAGTCGGTATCTTTTGCTCCCATATTGTCATTCAGTTTGCTTGGAAGAATGCTTTCAGAACATCCATACTGCAGTTGACAAAGCGCTCAAGCTCCGTTTTTCAGTTTTGTGTGATGATTGGAGTGTAGTGAGGAAACACTTGCCTTGCTTTCAGAACCCAGAAATGGGGAAGGTACGGTAGTCAGCTCCCCATGCACTACAGATCGGCCTCAATACACCGGTAAGGCATTTGGCTTTTTTAGGAGGAACAAATTGAAGGGCTCAGTTTGTTTTTCTCCCCATGTCACTGTTTGTCATGATCATGCTCAGCAGGTCTTAACGTCAGTTGATTTGGATGCCTTCCACTTTTGGGAAGGGAAAACGTGGAAGCTTAGAAAGCGCAAAACCGGTCATGCTCTAGGGTTTGCATGTCGGGTCTCCCAACTTTGTGAGGTGATCGACTCGGACCTTGCCCGTGATGCATGTAGGCATGACATTGGCCCAAGATGTTCACTTTTGCAAGAATCCCAGGAACCGCTGTCGCTTCCGGCCGTGTTGATCCGGGATCACTGCGATGACGTGCACCGGTTTGTAGGGTCTCATGCTACTGACGATGTTCATTCCTCAGTCTTAGGTGACGTTTCCAATTTTTATGATCAGCCTCAAGGGTCCCAGGAACCGCTGTCGTCTTCGGCCGTGTTGATCCGGGATCAAGATTGTACGCATTTGGAACCTAGCAATTTGCTTGAGTGTTGTGACCCAAGAATTGCATTAGGTGACATCACCAACATTTCTCAGTGCTTTGACAAAACCTCCAATCATGCATTCATGGCCTTGCTTGATGAAGATGTAGCTTCGTTTATGCAGAAGTCAAATCCAAAATCCACTACATGCAAGCAATCGCCATTTCCTGATGATGGAAATCCAATCTTGGAAGGGGTTGCACAGGGACAGGTTGATCCTATTCCTCTTGAAGGCTCTTCGCCCTCAAACGATGCCATATCTGACGGGTATTCTGCATCTGTGGCTACGGACTCTTCACAGGCTTTTCCACCAAGCACTGCTGGGGGAAGGCATGAATCAATTTTATATCACCTTGCTGACCCACCAATCCGTGTTTTCCTGGATTGGTCCGACCATGTCACCATGATTCAAGAAATTGCGTTTCATTTCGGTCGGGATCCTTTGGAAGTGATTGATGCTTACGAGGTTTTGCCATACCCGCATGACACACCTGAAGGTGCCACTCCAATTATTGTTCACATTTTTGATGATGTTGCAGTAGGTCAACCTGCCAAGTTGGTGCTTCTTGACACTGAACTTCACGGTCACTCCTTCGAAGTCAACTATGTCACTGGACCCACAACCACGCGCACAGTCGTTCGGTTACCGGAACGTTGCACCAGATCTTCAGTGTTGATTTCTGCAAACGTAGACTTGTACTGTCGGCAAGAGGCGGACACTTGCTTCGTTTGGCATGGGCACACCAGATGGGCAGACACTGATTTCCAGCCCCGTGTAATCTCCCATGGTGCGTATTTTCGGGTTGCAGTCCCTCCTACCAGTAGGT